GGCGTTGGTCATTGGCCGGAGATAGATGGACTACAGAGGATGACTATATCAACTCGACACAAGACCCAGACCTCTACTATGTCGATGGTGACACTCATGGACAACATGGGGATTACATCGTTGCACTCCTCCACTATCTCTCTGGGGATCGCGAAGATGAGAAACCAGTCTCTATTAGTAAGCTGTTAATTCTCGAGCCAACTCCTTATGTGTGTTACGCGTGACTAAACCCCTTGAATAGCGTGGAATGAATGTCCTAAATGTCCTACACTACGCGACCATTTATCCCATCTACCGATCACTCATAAATCGACGGCTTTCACAGCTCGGCATATGCTGGAAGATACAATGCCGTACATAGGATTCAAAGACAATCAATCCTTCCCACACATTCAAGACAGAAGTGATCAGTGGCTCAATATAATCCCAGGAGACTCGTCTTTCAAAAAGAGATACAATCATCTATACTTGAAGTGCAAATACCAAGAACGTAGGGCAACCTCTGGGGCTCCCCCTGCAACGGTCGAGCCTTCAATCCCAGTCCCGCCTTTAGGAGCGACCAATAGCCTCAACCATCCCAAGAGGGGCGCTAAGAAAGGTAAAACAATACCTTTCGCCTCTTTTTGGAAGGGAAGCTGGTTCAATACGACAGATACTCCACCTCGGAAACCTGGCAGTGCCTAATCCATCTGCCACTGTATCGTTTGTATAGATTATATATTTTTATAAGCTATATTTGGTCGAGAATCCCAAACATTCCCCTTTCCTTCCGTCGATATTGTGGTAGTATCGAATTGCTTGGTTTGAGTACGGTGAGTGTGTCTTCGTAGATGGTATGCCCGTAATCTCATAATTCATAGTAGCCAACAGACATTTGTCCATTGAATCGATGCCGGAACACAACAATATATCTATATCTACATCAGTCTAGCCCTCGTCGATGCGCTCAACTTTTTTCATACGTACTCTGGTCGGACTAGTGAAGCAATACAATCAGTCACATTCTTGGTCCAGCATTGCTTCACTATCCGTATTCAAAACGAGTCAAGAGACGCATCTTCGTTCAACGGGACTTTCGAATAGGCAATCTGGTTCATGGGAATCGTTGATTATTGTACTTAAATGCCTTGGATATTGAAAGCGATTCAATTCAGAGTCGTTGGTTAATTATATGCACAATGAGGATTATTCAGTACACATTGGATTCAGACAAAGGGTAACAGCATAGAAGACATTACAAGAAAACCTGAAAAAAATTCGTCTTGGAAAAGCCATAAATGAAATCAATTCAACTGGC